GGCAAGGCAAAATGGATTAAGACAGTAGGAGAATATTCGATGGGAATTAAAGTACCAACAAGTAGAGAAAAGATAGGGGATCCTTTGGATAAGTATAGTGTTAATTGTGATATTTCACCCAACTAGTTACTTTTTATAGAAGATGAAAAAGAGATGAGACTTCTCCTAGAAGGGAGAGGAATTGTGAACTGTATTCAGAAAAGAGAATGCTTGTGCAAGGTTGGATGACATATAGTGAGACTAAAGGATAGAAAGTAGGCATAGTATGCGAGAGAATAGAATAGAGAGAATAGAGAGTAGTTAATAAACTACAGTAATAAAGCTCAGGGAGATAGTGAAATGGGCCAAGATCAGGGAGGGTTGCTGTATAGTATTCATAATCACATGGAACAACAATTATTTACAACAGTACTGGGACAACAATAATATGACAAAAAATACATGATTTGAATAACCAGAATAGAAAGGACATGGTCAAGAGTAGTATGTTACTGGAATATGAGTGAAGTGAAAGAAGGAAAGTTAAGATACAATATGAAAGAGAAAATAAAGAAAACCAGTCAAACAATGCAATTAAACAAAGGTATAAACTGAGGAAAACTAAACAGAAAGAAGAGAAATAAAAAATACTGATAAGATAAAAGAAAAATAAATGAAAAAGTAATAATAATACAAATCAACAGTACAATGTAAGTTCTGTTGGCTAGCAAAGTGAAATTTGGCTCAGTTTCTCAGTTGTTGGGGTTAGCCTTGTGATCCCTCTTTGGCTCTGTCTCTAGACCTTTCACAGTTCTAGGTTTTATTGTCTCACCTGGGGGAAGAAAAAAGAAGAGGGGGGGGGCAGGGAAGCCTCCTGCTGACTTTAAACCCTCAGAGCAAGTTCTGCTGGTCTTCCTGGATGTTACAGGCAGAGGGGGGCTGGACTTTGCTTTTCTCCTTTCCTATAGTTTTGCAAGGATGGGGGCCAGGTTTAGGCCACAATATTTACAGTTGCCCAGCCTCCAGCCCAGATCCTCCGTGAGCTGCTGGGTCCCCATTATCCATCTGAGCCAGGACAGCACCTTTACTCCACCAGCTGTGCTGCAGTCCGTGTAGTGAGCGTCCTCCTCGCTCTTTGCGAGCCCAGTACTTCTGGGGCCCACCACTGATAAGCAGCTCAAATCAGCTGTGAGGTGAGTGGTGCCAGCAGCCTTTGCCTGAGGGGCATGAGAGTTCCTTAAACAGCAGCTGAGAGCCTTTTTTTTTTTTTTTAATAAAACCTTCTAATTTAAGCCTACCATTCGTAACTAGCACCCGGCTTTTCACACAGCCCAACTTTCTAACCTAGAGACTCTCCAGGTCAGGGTCCAACATGGCCCAACTCTTCTCCCTTCTCAAGGTATTCCCTGGCTCCGTAATTTCTCTAGTAATGACCTACCCAGTGTCCACAGTCCCAATGGGTGAACACTGCTTCTGTGTGTCTGCCACTTTGTCTGTATTCCCCCCAGTGACTTTAAGCACCCAGGTTGCTCCTGGTGCCTTGATGCCCTCCCTTCTTGGTAGGGGAGGAAGCTGGTGATCTGACTCCTCCAAGGATCCTGAGGCAGGTGCCAGGCTGGGGACCACAGCAGCCTTGGTCCCTGTGCAGATCCCAGGGACCTTAGCATTCCAATGCAATCTCCTTACCATCTGTTTTCAATGTCCTCTACAATTTTTGGCCTCCAAACTTCATATAAGCTGGGATTCCATTGGCTGTTCACTCTGTTCCTCAGAAAAGTTGGGCACAGGGAAAAGTAGACTCCGCTCCTACCTACCTCGCTACCATCTTTTCCCCCAGTAAGTTTTATTTTCTTTTCAATATCCAAGTTGCTTAATACTTACAGGTATTTGTTTGTGATTTAATTTACCGATTAAAAATTTTGGTATTCCTTATTCTCTAATAAAAAAAATCAAGTGCACACTCTTTGAGGTTAGCTAATGATGTTTATAAGCAGTTGATGTCTCCAGAGTGCATGATGTCTCTGTAGAACTACCTGCCTCTATCTGGAATGTTTGCTCATGGAAAGAAGCAACTTGCAGAAACAGAAATTTTTGTCCTGATTGTTAGCTGCTTTTAAAAATCCACCTTTCAGTGACTCTCTACCATGGTCATTTTGAATGAATGGTTATTTTTTTTTTTTAAATATTCTGGTTTGTGTGGCTCAGTGGATTGAGCACAAGCCTGTGAACCAAAGGGTCGCCAGTTCTATTCTCAGTCAGGGCACATGCCAGGGTTGTGGGCCAGGTCTCCAGCTGAGGGTGTGCAGGAGGCAGCCACACATTGATGTTTCTCTCCCATTCTTTCTCTTTCCTTTTTCCTAAAAATAAAACTATAAAATCTCTAAAGAAAATTCTGGTCATAACTTGTGTTTAGATGGACCTGTTACTACCTCTGCTTTCTTTTTTGTACACAAAAATTATCCAAAGATACATCTTTGGACATACAGGCATTGTATCATGCCTTAGAGTGCTAGAGTGCTATGTTAACTTATTTTTTGAATCAATCCTGATATCCTGAATAACTTCAGAATTCCTTGGGATAGTCATATGGCATCCTCCACTTCAGTATTCTTCACTTACCTTTTTTTTTTTTCAAAAAATAAATTTAATTTTAAAGTTATTATTATTTTAACAAAGAAAAAAAAGAAACACATAATATAAAAAGTAAATTAATACATTTCCTCCAATCTTGTTAATAGTTTGATGTATTAGGTCTGTCTAGAAGGTATCTAGTAATGTAATATTTAAAAAAAGAGACATTTATTGAAGATACAGACTACAAGAAACATTGTACATAGGGCAGTGATACCTCAGTCACCTTCAAAGTAGGCACCTTGGGACCTCACACAGTTCTCCCACTTGCCATCAGCTGCCCTGTCTTATTTTTATGAATTTCATCAAAGATCTGAAATCTCTTCCTTTTCAAGGATGATTTTAGTTTTGGGAAAAGCTAGAAGTCATAGGATGCCAAATCTGGGCTGTAGGGTGGGGATGAGTCACCTAGGTAATTTGATGTTTCATCAAAAAACTCTGCACGAGATGTGATGCATGAGTGGGTGTATTGTTGTGCTGAAGCTGCCAATCACCAGTTGCCCATAGCTACAGCCTTCTGAATTATGTGAATAATTTCTGTGGAGGAATGTTCAACCTTAAGGCAAAATTGGATGCATATTCATTGCTCTATTCAGTCATTTTGAAATGTGATGGCCACACAGTACACATGCTCAATCAACACTGTCTACCACCCCCACTAAATAGTACAGTGAACATCCAGTACGCATAGTATGCACATGCATTCCAGTCCACTTTCCTTGGCTGCCAGGTTACATTAGTGTCATGCCAACCATTCCCATTATATTAACAATGGCTGTACTTTCCCCCAACAGACCTTGTATGTCCTTTTGGACTTTTTTCTATAAACATTTATATATGGGTGAATATAATACCTCTTTTGAAAAATGGGATTATTATACTTACTACTTTTCCCTCCTATTCTGTAATTTCTGAGCTTAACAAAATGTTTTACCTGAATCTATTCTCAGACTATTTGCAGCTGCTTTTTATGTACTAATGACTGCTTAGTTTTTCTCTTAATGGATGACCCACATCCAGATCTCTACTGATGTGCATTTCAATTATTTGTAATATTTTGCTGTTTTAAACAATGTTGCACTGATTTTCTGTGTTATTCTTTCTGTATGTGTACCTTTGTACACTTAGGCAAGGATTTATATAGTGTAAGTTCTCAGAAACAGGATTCCCTGGTATATTTTATATACCATTAAAAATTTTGATGTCTGTTGCCAAATTTCTTCCCATAGAGTTGAAACGTATTGTACTTCTGGTATCAAAAGTGCTTTTAACCACTTGTTGCTAGTACCCTAAAGTCCATGTCCCTTCCTCCCCAACCCCTGTCACAGTGCCTTAAAAAGCCACAACCAATTCCTATATGCCCTGCATTGCCATGGGGCATGGTGCCACCACACATCCTGGGCTTCTAATTTGAGCTAGACCTTTTATCTGTTCTTGTGTCCCACAATGGCTATTCTAAACTTTTAACAGTTCTGTCAAACTTGTGCCCAGCCCTGCTACATTCTCCCTCTCACTCCAGATATTTAAGAGATTACCACATTCTATCACATCTTGCCCTTTAACTTATTTTTTACCATTTCCTCTCTTGGTCCCTGAATGGTCTTTTGTCTTGTACACACTCCAGTTACCTTTCATGTTGTAGCCAGTGTGATGTTTTCAAAATGAAAATTTAAGCATGTTAATTTCTGTTTTGAAATATTTCAGTGAAAGACCCATAGAACCATTCCACTTTCCCTGGTATGTGTTTTGGCACTTTATCCACTTGACTCTTACCTTCTAGTCTTTTCTCCTTCCACTATCCCATATGTGTCCAGCCAGGCCCACCCACTTGTCTTCTGAATCTGCCTCCAGCACATTCTGTGCCTTGACCCTGGAGTGTTTTAGCCATCATTCAGCTCTGCTCAAATCTCCATGTTCTGAAAAGTCTTTCCTTAACTTTCTTTCTATAGCTAAAGCCTTTCTCCTCTCTGCTTTTACAGTGCCTTGATTATATCTCTATTATAGCAAGTGCCACTTGGCTACAGAAAGTTTGCATATGTTTGTTGTTCTTGTTAAATGGTGATTAAAGACATTCCTAGTACCTTTCACAATGTCATGACCTATGGTAGTTGCTTAATAACTGTTAATGAGCCTCAGTTTCTTCATGTGTAAAACAAGAATTAGTGACTTGCCCAAAGCCATCCCACTAGTACCAGTAAGTTATAGAGTAGGAACGGATGCCAAATTCTTTTCGTTCCCCACCTCTAAAACTTCTTTTATTTAGAGATCAGTGTAGGATCACATAGAGTAGAATATGAGTGTTGGAAGTGAAAAAAAAAGTGTGACTGATTTATCTATTCCTTCTCACTAGCACTTTTTAAAAGCCCATTCTCTCCCTTTTTCTTTCTAAGGTATATGGCTGGGGTTATAATGGCAATGGTCAGCTTGGCTTGGGAAACAATGTCAATCAGCTGACCCCTGTGAGAGTAGCAGCTTTGCACAGCGTGTGTGTGAACCAGGTATGTTTGGTGGACTCTTAGCTCCTGGTCCTCATCTATCTTCCCTGCTCTGACTTGGAGGAATGTTGGAGATTTACTCTTCAATAAATGTTTTTAAATAATACCTGTGCCATCATCTTCCGCATTTAATATCATATCCCCCCCTAAATTTTGACGATAAGAAGGAACACCATGGTGGTGGCACATTAGTCTTAACAAGTGAAAAAAGCAATTGGAAAAACTCAGTGGTCTCAGGTTTAGGCTCTTCTAATGCTTTTTTAATGTTTCAGAGAATATTATCCCACACCTGATGATGAATTAGTGTTCTGTAGAAGCTGGCTGTAATCTTTAGATATTTTTCCCTGTCTTTCCTGTTTTCCTGTTTATGGTAACCATTTAAATTTACTTGCAGATTGTCTGCGGCTATGCACACACTCTAGCACTAACAGATGAGGGCTTACTCTATGCCTGGGGAGCTAATACATATGGGCAGCTGGGAACTGGCAATAAAAATAACCTGCTAAGCCCAGCACACATCATGGTGGAAAAAGAAAGGTAACTTGGCTGTACCATGTCTTGGGATCATGTGTGCATTTTGGACTTGGGACTGTGTGTGCTGGATCTATGGTGTTTGGCTTTGTGACTCTTCTGTTTATTAACATTCTTATTTTGAACAAAGAGTTGGAATACCAACGAGAGTGAACATGAAGTTGATAGGATTCTTATGCAGCTTTCTAAAATAACCTCTTGATTGATATGCATTAATGCGTCTTGGTAAAATCCTACAAACTTCTTGTTGCCCATTTAGCAGGGAAGTAAAATAGAGTCTACCACCATGTTGAAGTATAAAATTTTCCTTTGAGCCAACTAAAACAACATTTTCACAAATAAAATTTGCCCTTGAAAGGACATTATCTGCTTAAATATTGCTTTGATGTGATGTGTGTTACTGGAATAGATGCTTAATGTTTGTTCAGCCAAATCATGAGGTATGTTACCTACTAAGTTTTAGGATGTTGACTTTTGATTCTGGGACCCTGCCTAAGAAACAGACTGAGAAATAGAGTAACTCTGGCTTGATGCCCATTTGGCTTAGGGTGTTCAGAGTTCATGACCCCTAGGCCAGTGTTTATCAGCCTGATGAGTGTTCTGAGCTCTGGTAGGGGGTGAGAGAAAAAGTTGTATTTGTAAGGAAATAGTATATTGAAGATAGTTTTGTTTTGTTTTGTTTTGTTTTTGCTATGGTCTAAGCCCCCAGAACTGTCAGAACATTTTGTCAGAGTCCACTTTCCTCCTTTACTTTGGTTTGTAGTCCCTTTTTCCAAATTTTCCTCAACAATTATATATTATTCATCTTAACTCAGAAAGAGGTTGAAAAGTAGGGCAACAAGGAAGTACTCCTGTTCTATCATTTGGTTTTGTCTGTAGGACATGATAGCTAATGTCCCTTGATCTTGAGCTGTTTTTGAGGTGTTCCAAGCATGAACATTTTATTTACCTTGTGTAATATGTTGTAAGTTTTTGTAGTACAGAAATGACACATCCATTTTTTCTTAAAATATTTCAGGGTAGTAGAAATTGCAGCCTGCCACTCTGCCCACACATCTGCCGCCAAAACCCAGGGTGGTCATGTATACATGTGGGGCCAGTGCCGGGGCCAGTCAGTGATCCTGCCTCATCTCACCCACCTCTCCTGCACGGATGATGTGTTTGCCTGCTTTGCCACTCCTGCTGTCTCCTGGCGCCTCCTGTCTGTTGGTAAGAAAGCTCAAGGCTACTTCCACCCAGGAAGAATCATCCTGTCAGCTGACCAGTTTTCCTGCATATTTGCTGGTTATTTGCCCTTTCAGGTTCTAGAATGTTTTATTCCCCATTAAATTTAATCTTTCCTTAAATTAAATTTGCTTAATGAAATTTATTGATATGTTATAAAACATTACATGGATTATTTTCTCCCCTTGTTTTCATTTTAATTGAGGTGAAATTCATGTATTACATAAAATTAACCATTTTAAAGTATACAATTCAGCAGCATTTAGTTATTTATAATGTTGTGCAACCTTCATTGATACTAAATTCTGAAACAGTTTTATCAACCTAAAACAAAACCCTGGTCCTATTAAGCAGTCACTCTATGCTCCCTTCCCCACAACCACTGGCCAATTTGCTTTTTATTCATATGTATTTAACTCTTTTGGACATTTCATGTAAATGGGATAATACATTATGCAACATTTTGTGTCCAGCTTCTTTTACTCAATATTTTTGAGACCCATTCATGTTGTAATATGTATTAGTACTTCATTGCTTTTTATAGGTGAATAATATTCCATTGTATGTATATACCACATTTCATTTATCCATTTATCTGTTGAGGGATATTTGGGTGCTTTCCAATGTTATATTCACAACAACATTATTGTGAATAATGCTGTTATGAACATTCATGTACAGATATTTGTGTGAGTAACCTGTTCCTAAGTACTTTTATTGTTATACTAAATTCATTATGTAATTCAATATAATATGAACCAAAAATGAATTTTAGAAAAGTGAGGAACTTATGGTTTTGAAGGTGATGTCTTAGCCTCACCTTTTCTTTCAACCAGTTTCAAATACATTTATTTTAGAGGGGCATCAAAACAGAGGTAGTAGGGTGTTACAAAGGGTAGTAGAAATCAGGGTGTTTTTTCTGAGTAGACATTAACAGAGATCTTAATTTCTTTTTATTTCTTGTTCATTTCTGCCTTTTTCTTCCTAGCTATTCTTTCCTTTATATGAAGAGGAAAGAAATAGGTCATAATGCATCAAGTTTGAACACTAATGTAACTCTTGATGACCAAAGGGTTTGGGTTGCTCAGCAATTAATATTGAAAGCTAGTCTTATAATACATGTCATGCTGAGTTGTGTCAGACAGCTGGAGCTGTGCGATTATCAGGTGACCATTCTTTATGGTCTTACAGGCAAGAATATGTTTAAGCAGAGGTAAGCTGCTATTCAACTTAAAGTGAAACAGTGAACATTTTCAGATTTTTTATAATACAACCCTTTTTTACAGTGAATATTGTGATTAGAAAAATTTAGTTCACCATAAAAATACTAGAAAAAAAAACAGGCATTTCTTAGCAATAATTTTCTCTTAGCAATAATTTTTTTCTGATATATTGCCTCAGGCAATGGAATAAAAAAAATAAATGTGCTTGTCATCTAAAAAGCAAAGGAAACCATCAGCAGGATGAAAAGACAATCCACTGAATGGGAGAACATATTCTCCAATAATACATCTATGTGATAAGGGGTGTATATCCAAAATTTATAAAGAATGCAGAGAGCTCAACATCAAAAAAACAAACAATCCAATTAAAAGATGGGCCAAGGAACTGAATAGACACTTCTCCAAAGAGGATATACAGATGGCCATTAGACATATTAAAAAAGAATCATCATTAATCATCAGAGAAATGCAAATTAAAACTACAGTGAGATGTCTCCTCATACCTGTTAGAATGGCTGTCATCAGTAAATCAGTTGTTGCAAGGATGTGGGGAGAAGGGAAAAATAAGTGTTGCAAGGATGTGGAGAGAAAGGAACCTGCATGCAGTATTGGTGGGAATGCATATTGGTGCAGCTACTGTGGAAAATGGTATGGAGTTTTCTTAAAAAATTAAAAATGGACCTGTTGGATGTCAGAGGAAGGGCAGTGTGAAAGATCCCCTTGAACTTTCAGTAGTAGAACATCTATCACTCAATAAAGGATTCCCTGCTTAACACACAAAATGCCTGAGAGATCCACACATTGAAACATCTAAAGGTACGTGAGCCAGAACAAATGGAAGAGATGAGAATGTAGAAGGACTGAGAAGATCCACAGATATAGCCTTGTAGCTGGAAGCTCTTGGTGGGGCTCAGCCTGGAGAGAGGAGGAATTCAGTTGTAGCTGGTGCACCCTTCAGCCAGGAGGAACAAAGAGATTTGAAGGAACAAAGTGATTCTTGCAGGTGTGAGCTGTGGGAGCTTCAGCTGAATCCAGAGACCTGGGCAAGGACACAGCACAAGGGTGAGGCCACGGTTGTCGGGTGGTGAGATTCCTGAAAGAGGGACAAAGCTGTGGAGCCCTGCCATTCCTAGCCTCCCAGAGCTCTCCTCCCTTCACCCTTGGTATCAGGTAGTGGAGCAAATTAATTGCAACCCAAGACCTGCTCCTGCAGAATCACATTTTTCCCTGAGCAAAGGACACACTCTGTGACCTATCCTGGGATGCAGGGAGGACCCTGTGGAAGTCTGAGGTTGTCATTACCTAGAGGGCAAAACAACAAAGAAGCCGGCCTGTTCCTCAAACCTACCCCACCTCCACACATTTGCAGCATCTGGCTATGGAAGTTGCACTGGGACTTCACAGAACTAAAAAGTTTGTAATTCAGAGCCACCTACTGGAAAATAAAAGAAAGACCTCTTTGTATTAATCTGCTAGAGAAGTACCACTTATACATAGATGCCTAGAAAGAAGAAATCCATCAAATACCATGAAAACAGAGAAAACAAGGCAGCTCAGAAAGAAAAGGAATCTCTGGAAAACATACTTGAGGATATGGAAAGATGTAGTATAAATGACAGAATGCAGATTGTGGTTCTGAAAATACTTAACAAGAAGCGAGAACATACAGGCAATTTAATGCACTCAGATAACAAATAAAATGAGTGTATTACCAAACAGATTGAAAGTTTAAAAAAGAACCAAACAGAAATTCTAGAGATGAAGAACTCAGTAAAAGAGATCAAGAATGAACTAGTGAGCATAGGAAATAGAGCTGACCAAATGGTGGAAATAATTATTTATATGGAAGATAGAAATCTAGAAATGATGCAGAGAAAAAAAGAGAAAGACTTGAGCATAAAAAAATGAAAGAGCTCTACAAGAACTATCTGACTCCATCAGAAAGTGCATTATAAGAATAATAGGCATACCAGAAGAAGAACAGAGGGAAAAGGAAATGGAGAGTGTATTCAAACAGATGGTTGATGAGAAGTTCCCAAGCATATGGAAAGTGCTAGATTCTCAAATTCAAGAAACAAATAGAACACCTAGTTACTTCAGTCCCAAAGAGGCCTTCTCCAAGGCACATTGTATTAAAACTATCAAAAATTAATGACAGAACTTCCAGTCAAGAGGGAAGTATAGGTAAACATGCTCCATCTCCTTGCACAGACACAGATAGAATTACAGCTAGACATCCAAACAGATAACACCTAGAACCATCATAAAATCGATTTGTATGGAAGTACAACAACCAAGGATATAAAGAAGCTACATTCATCCAGAGGGGTAGGAGGGGTGGAGTTGCAGAGACAGGTGGAGAGGCATGGAAACACACTGTGGTGCAGAGAGGTAGCAGCAGCAGTGGAATAGGTGGTCCAACGTTCACATGTGGTAGATAAAAGTCTGGAGGGACACCTTGGGAGTGATCAATTACTGCCCTAAGCCAGACCATACAGCCCAGGGTTCCAGCACTAGGAAGATAAATCCCCAACTTCTATCTGTAAAAACTAGTGGGGGTGGGTCAGCAGAAGATTTTCAGGAGATTCTGCTTAAAGGGCCTGCACAATCTTAAAACATATGCAGACACACCTCTTCTGGGATTCAGTACCAGGGCAACAGATGGAAGGGCACCAGTTGCACAGAGAAAGTACCAGGCAAAACTCCAGAAGCCAGGCAGTGGCATTGTCCCCTCTCCAAGCTCTCCCCCCAACAAAGAGCCACAAAGCAGTGAAACAGGCTGCCCCACCCTGGTGATTACCTCAGGTTCTGCCCCATAAGATTTATAGGTGCCTTTTCTACAACAGGCCATGCCACTAAGGTAGGGAGTCAAAGCAGCTCTACCTAGTGCACAGAAACAAACACAGGGAGGGTGCCAAATTGAGGAGACAAAGAAATATAGCCCAAATGAAAAACCTAGAAAAAGAACTAAAGGGAATGGATATAATCAGCCTATCAGATGCAGAGTTCAAAACACTGGTGATCAGGATGCTCAGAGAACTCATTGAGTATGGCAACAAAATTAAAAAGACCCAGGAAGAAATGAAGGTTATAATAAGCGAAATAAAAATCTATAGGGAATCAACAATGGAGGGGATGAAGATGAGATTCAAATCAACGATTTGGAACATAAGGAAGAAATAAACATTCAAGCAGAACAGCAAGAAGAAAAAAGAATTAAGAATACTATAAGTTGCCTCTAGGGCATCTCTAAGCGTACCAACATCCAAATCATAGGGATGCTGGAAGAAGAGGAAGAGCAAGAAATTAAAAACTTACTTGAAAACGTAATGAAAGAAAACTTCCTCAACTTGGTGAAGGAAATAGATGTATAAGTCCAGGAAGCACAGATGGTCCCAAACAAATCGGACCCAAAGAGGAACACACCAAGACACATCAAAATTAAAATGCCAAAGATTAAACATAAAGAGAGAATCTCAAAAGCAGCAAGAGAAAAGCAGAATTACCTACAGAGGAGTTTCCATAAGTCTGTCAGCTGATTTCTCAAAAGAAACTTTTCAGGCAAGAAGGGAGTGGCAAGAGGTATTCAAAGTGATAAAAAGCAAGGTCCTACAACCAAGTTACTCTACCCAGCAAAGCTGTTATTTAGAATGCAAGGGCAGATAAAGTGCTTCCCAGACAAGGTAAAAACTAAAGGAACTCATCATCACCAAACCATTATTACATGAAATGTTAAAGGGACTTATCTAAGAAAAAGAAGAT